TCTCTCTCTATCTATCTATCTATCTATCTATCTATCTATCTATCTATCTATCTATCTATCTATCTATCTATCTATCTATCTATCTCATTCGGGCTGTAAGGGTTGAGGTTGAAACCCCAGACGCTCTCTGGCAAGCCAGCCCCAACTAAGTCAACTCCCCGTCCTTGTCAAGCAGCCTGAGGACCCCTGCTCTGTGTATAGGAGCAGGGATTGCAGACAGAGCTCTGGCCAGGAGGTACCATAGCCCTGTGAGGTGCGATGTGAGCAACGGCCCTTCCGCTCGTAGAAGGATCTGTACACATCCACCATTATGGTAGGTCTGCCGTCACAGCAGGCCAACCTGTCCATTCAGGAACTCACTGTCGACATCTTCTTCCCTCCCTCTCGTGGGAGCTCTACAGACGGGGCATGGTACCCACAGACTGCCAGATGACTCATCGTGATATGTCTCCGCGGACCCAGAAGACCTTGTAGCAGTAAGGAATAGAAACAGATGACGTCCCTACAGATACCCTTGAAAATGCTCGCTGAACAATGACGTGACGATCCTCTGTCTGAGTAGATTTGCCCATCCTTTGGATTATTCTGCTCCATGAACGGAAATGTTAATAGTAGATAGCCAGGAGAAAGCAGGTGGCGGGCATTGGGCAAACGCAAGCTACGCTTGGTGATGTGGACGACACACTGTGGAAGGAACGCGTTACCCCCTACTCAATGGAACCCCTAACTGGACTGCTCAGACGATCACTGGTCATTGGTTGCACTCTGTGGCTCCCATCTCCCAGAACTAGAGTGTGCATACACCCACATATTATTATAATTGTCTACTCTCTAAGAAAACCCCGTGAAGATAGATGAAAAACAGCACAGCGAATGTTGCACCTTTGTTCTCTTGTGGAAAGATGTTTGGGCACAAGCCAGTGTCAGGATAAGACTACCACCCACCTGAGATCCTACAGGGACGCATACAAGTCTGTACAACCCCCAAACCAATAGAAACAACTTCTATCTCATTATCTCTTTCTTTCTCTCTGTGTCTCTCTCTCTCATTCTTTCTCTCCATCTCTCTCTCTCATCTTCCTCTCTCTCTCTATCATATTATCTAGGTTCATTAAAAAAATTATGCTTCTTGACCCTCCGTCTCTCTATCTCAGTCTTTGTACAATGTATATATAGAGAGCGATGGAAAAAGGGGGAGAGGGAGAAAAGACAGAACGTTTATGTGTGTATGTGTGTACAGTATGTGTATTTGTGTGTCTCTGTCCGCCTCGCTGTCTGTATTACTTGGCTCTCCGTGTGTGTGTGTGTGTCGTGTGTGTGTGTGTGTGTGTGTGTGTGTGTGTATGTGTGTGT